GGAACAATAAAAATCATAAGTTGAAAACAAAAAAAGTATTGTTAAATTTAAAATGAACTTTTGAAATACTTTGTATTTTCGTGTCGCACTTACTCCACTTCACCTTAACGTATTTTTCTCTTTGAGTTTAGAGTTTCGATTTTGGTGTAATATCCCAATATTGGACGTGTGTATATATATATATATATATATATAGATGGGTAATATACGTCAAGCATATTATCCTGAATAGGAAACTCAGATTATTTTTCGGTTTTCTCGTTTTATAATACGTGAAAATCTCAACAGTATATTGTAAACGTATCCATATGTACCTACAGTGGTATTTTATACATGACGCGTGTCAGCGTAACATTAGCGTAAACGGAGCATTTACATAATTCCAAGGATATCACAGGACTTACAGCGGCCACGGTCATCTAGTGAGATGGACGACGGGCTTTCACAGTACACAACACCAAAGAGAAAGAAAGAGAGAGAGAGAGAGAGAGAAAGATAGAGAGAAAGAGAGAGAGAGAGAGAGAAAAGATATGTTGCTGCAGTGCGAACGGATAAAAAGACACCCGGTGAAAGTGGCCGTGAGGGGCGACATGATATACGATGCCACCGAAGACGGAGCGTCGGAGTGTGTGCATACGTGTACCCGCACAGGTATATGTTTTTTATAATCGATTTTTATATCCGTTCTGTTTATCGCGTGCGCGTGTACGACGCATCACTTAGGGCCGATGCACATTCTTGTGGCAGTCGATCCAAACAATAATAAAATATATAATGTGTATACGTTGTGCCTACCACGAGAGTCTGTGCGTGTATCGATTACTTCACGGCAGTATGTGTGCGAGTGCATCATACAATATGGCCACGATTTATATTTTATGGAATATTGTGTGCGACGCGTTGTTTATCAGAGTGTGTAAATCTACTGGGGCCAGTTCTCCGTCGATGTAACTTTGTGCGATATACACGCATACAGATGAGTACAGATGATACGTAAATCCATGGGTGCAACTAGAGCCCAAATATTGGGGATGCTGAAATAAAATAAAATGGTATTTAACTGCAATTACTGTAGATTATATAGACCTAAAAAAAGAAAAAGGGAGTGCTACATATGAACTCTGGGGACTAAAAACCCTATTGTGCTCTCCTAGTTGCACCTATGCATAAATGGTGTCTATACTTGAACCATGTGTTCAGATAAGCGTAACCACGAAATAAAAATCACAAGTTCGCCCGTATTCCGCGTAAATAGACGAAGCAAGAAGCTGAGCTATTGCTCTTCTACAAATCGTTAAAATCTCTCAAAACGATATAGCGAATATAAATATTGTAATCAAGTCTAAACAGGCTAATATGTGATATGACGTGAAAATGCGTAACCGGCACACTCGTCCCACAAGGGTAGTATCTATAGACACCTATTTATTAGTGCGTTATTGTCTAGACTTTTGTAATACAATTATATATTTAATATTAAATATTATAAATTATAATATTACTATACGGATTGTAATTTAAATAATATGCCAATGTTAATAACTTCTATAACGAATAAAAGTGTTTAATCTTTGGGGAGACCAAGTAAGAGAAAAAAAAATGAATTTTGGTTTAAATATTAAAAAGTATTATAATCCGAAAACTAATGACACAATTAGCAGCTTCGCCTTATTACGATCGCATCCGTTCCTATCAAATTTACCGCTCTAATCTAAAAGTGCATTAGTATTCGAAAATAATAATTATCAACGCCATGTGGTGGTTTACTATAGGAAAAAAAGTATTTTACATTAATTCTAAGTTAACCGTATTGCGCGATAAATATTTCGTGTTTCACTATAGTATAGGTATAATAAGGGCTGGTGAATTTGAAAATATGATAATTTTTGTTTAAACGTTTAAGTTTAGTCGCACGTCCAGAACATTATTACCGTATAGAAATTAAACTCCGATCATTAATTAATAATAATTACTGAAACTTTATGCTAATGATGTAGATAGTATAAAGCTTTTAAGTTCACAAATAAATGTATACAAGTACCTATTTTACATTTTTGTGATTTTATTGATTAACTTCTATAAAAAGTAATTTTTATTTTCCTAGGCTTAAAAATGAAATACTTCTTATAACCAAATACTGTTGGTTGCTATACCAATTATTCCCGTCTTCTGTTTATTTATTTGTTCAATGTCTATTTGTAGGGAAAATGCGAGGTTTTATTAAAATGCCATATTCATCAGACCTCATTCAAAAAATCAATAATTTAAATTAAAATAGTGCAATAAGAAAAACCTGGTATAGGTACTAAAAAAAAGTTGATAAAATAATATATGTATATTAAATAATAAAAAATGACTAATGAAATAATTTCACTAAATAATTTTGAAATACTTTTCGAGGTTATAAGTTCGTTACGTTTTTGCATATAGTCACGTACCAATATATTTTAAAATAACGGTCTGCAGATGGATAATGATGAATTAATAAACATAAATCTTTATAATAATGAATTCTGTTCTTTAATTGAATTTCGTGAACAAAAAATACTGAACTCTGCTGAAAAAACTTGTACGATGACCCATAATACAATCACGTACCCATACACAAAAGTAGTGAAGTACGGTACAATATATTTATTCACGGTTTGTTTTCGCTAAATAAAATTAAAAAAATTTCCTCGAGGTTAGCGTGTTTATGACTCATTTAAAATTTATGAAAATATCTGCAGTTCATTTATTTGAACGTAATGTACCTGCTTCCTGACTTCCTCGTTATTGGTATTTCTAACGAAATGTTAAAAATTACAGTGTAATTCGTAGTTCAGTTAAATTTATAAAAATAAAAAATATATTATGTAAACGAACTATTTGATCAACATTGTTTAAAATTACTCTCATGTGGTGTGATGGCGACGCACGATTTCGTTTACAGAATCATCAATACGTACAGCCTACGAAATATTTTCCAGTATAAACTCATATAATAAAAACGTATACCTGTTTATGTACTACGTTAGATTTTTTAAAATGAAACATTACCAAAAATAGCAAAAAAAAATTGTATGATATTTAATACTGTTGTTAATAATGCAGTACCCGATAAGATCGAGTCCATCATTAATTTTTTCATGTGGATGTTCTTTTATAGTACCAGAGGTATTATGGTGTACAGCATACGCCGAACCATTTAGAACGTTTCTATTTGACCTTGATCGTCAGATTACTATTAAAATATAATATTATACTCCCAGATGGGTTACAATTACTCCAGTAAAAGTAAACGTATTATAAATATTATTATTGACCAAAGAGAAAAGGTCGATTAAATAAACATTTCAACATAACGATGATGGTATTGTGTTATTTCATTATTTGTTCTAAAAACGAAAAATTAAATAGAAACTCAAACTTAACAACTCGTTAATAATTAATGATTAAATGCGATAAATAGCTTTGTAAAAAAAACTTTTTAATGCTTAGAACACGTGGTCGGATCATTTACAGTTATAATATGTACCTATATTATAAATATTCAGTAAAATATTAATTACAACTTTGAGATAATATTTATATCTTTTTTAGTGTACAAGTAATGCTTACTATAATATAGTAAGTATTTTTAATTACTCTTCTATTTTTAAAACTCATTAATTCAAAATTATGATTAAAACGTAGTAAAAAAATCTGTTAAAAATACAAAAAATCCCTACAAAATGACTATTTACTTATCCTATATATCTAGGTACTACAATATGTTTTACGCATACCACAATATAATATCAGTTGTTAAAAGTTAGAAAAATATAATTCACATGCACATTCACATTCTTGTTGTTTTAAAATTCTTAATTATTCAAAAGAAAACTAATTATTCTAGAAATCTCCACGAATACGAAACAACGTACCTAACGTATTATTAATTTCATGACGGCTTGTAGTTTCTTTCGTTCGTAATCTCACAACTAATTCGAATGTTTTCCCCACCGACAAACTTCGGATTAGATAAATTACCAATTTGAAATATCTAATATGAGTTCATGTTTTTATTATAATAGACATTTATATATCGTTTTGGTTTCGAAAGCATTTGTAAGTGCTATGTTTTTTATTAGAAGTATATTGAAATTAAGGAAATTTTAATTATAAGTTATTTTTATAAAAGTGCCTTCATGTTATCTAATGCGTATATTATTAATATTTGATTAAAACAATATTTTTATTTATTTAGTTAAAAACGATAGTCCGAGTAAAGAGTTGTAGTACTTTTATTACAATTTTACATTATGTAATTAAATCAATTGTTTATTGATTCAAATGTTATTTATACTTCAATAGCATTACAATATTCTTTTTCTTTTTTTTTTTATAAAGAAATTTATTGTAATAAGAATAAAATAATATATAAAATACATGTAGTACATCTTTAATAAGAAATTTACATTTTAGTGCATAAAAATTCTTTAATAATTATTACGTTTTTCTTAATCTAAATATTTGACCAAGTTATCACCCTGAAATTGTAAGTGTCCATCGTGCCTTTCAACCCAACGAGTTTCGCATATTCCTTGTACATTTATTCCTTGAAGCTCCTCTTCAAAGACTTTGTGACGTTTTGCTGAAGCATTAACGAAAGCTACTACTTTCCTCATAGTTGCTGAAGCATTACGACAATATGTAACTTTTGAAGATTTGGCTAATGAGTTGTTCAAAATATGGTTATTGCATGGACAATGCTTAGCGTTAATGGCCTTTTTAGAAAGTTCGTGAACTGCGCCCTTAGTTTCAGAAGCTATCACAGAGCCATCACCTATGCCAACACACCATGCCAAATCGATATCAAATTTAAAGCAAAGATCTTCTACTATGCGTGACAATGCAACGTCTGTTAATCGATGCTCTGCATTTGCGTCCTCAACATGAATCATCTCGTAAGCATTACAAAAAGTTAAAAATTCCTCCTTGATTATTCCATTGTAGAAGTATCGAAAGGAGAAACTCAGCTACTCAGTGTGAGAGGTATCAGTTGTTTTATCAAATATTAATGAAAATAATTTTGCTTCTTTTACTCTAGCTAAAATAGTTTCTTGAATAAAATCTTTGCATATATCAATAAGTTCATTTTGCTAATATACGTTGCATTGGAATTCGCCATTTCTAAATGCTGTGTAACGTTTGTCTCTCCTTTATGTGTAGGATTGTCAAAGTATACGTATATATATATCTTATTTCAAAGTATATAAGACAATGTTTTATATAGAAAATAACTATTTTTCTTTTTATTTGAATAAATAAAAGTTATAAATGTGACACAAACATATATAGCATTTAGATGAAGGTATATTACTGATTAATATAGTTTTAAATGGTTGAATGATTAGCGAAAAACAGTCCCTCTCAGGTCGCAAGAACTGCTTGGCTTGTCCGCGGCAATATGGTGGGCGGTTGAACCAGCGGTGGGGTCCTGGACTGAGGTGGAAAAAACAACTGGCAGCGGCATTGGGGATGGCAGCTAACGTTCTTGGTTGCTGGGGATGTTGACGTCACTGTTGACGGAGGTCAACTGGCAAGTTGTCTAGTTTACTTTTCCACGGTGTACTATATCACATACAGTAAAATACAACTAATTGTATTCTGTATGCATAGTACCCGTAGAATTTCAGCTGGACAACTGCGAGAAAGGTGATATTGTGGTTGTTCGGCCGGGTATTTAAGCGTGTATGATCTTGATGTGTATAGCAGAGTGTGGATTGGCGATGTTTTGGTTTTTCTTAATTTTTCTTTTAAAGTGAAGATGTATTGTGACGTGGAGTAGTTTTGAGAAGTGATTACAGATATATCTTGATGATTTTTTAGAAGTCGAAGGAATGAAATTAATTTTATAGTTTAAAAAATGTAAAAGAAAGTGAAAGAAGAGCGCTCTATATTGAGTATTAAGTGACGCGAAAGGTACGACGCGCCGCGCTTATCAAAGAGAGCAGGTGCGTCGGCGCCGGTTGCGCAATCGGAAACCGCTAGGTGGCGACACATACTTGATTCACGCCACAGCTGACTAAGAATTAAGTCACCACATTCGATAAGAAATCTTAGAAGAGCTCTAAAATTTCCCTCTTGATTTGCCACCACACTATTTTGATCATTTTCGACAAAATTTAAACTTATATTCCCGTCATCCCTATGCCCACGCAACGGAATATTTTGACGGCCACATAATATAATTGTACTGACAATTGGTCGCAAACGATCTCTATTTTCTTTAATTTGCGCTAATCGTTGCTTACAGACTTGATTAGCAACATTAAGGTCAGGAGTATGGTAATTTACAAGAAAATTTTTTCTAGCTTCAACCGACATTTGGTGATATTTATTTCGCTGGTGTGTTAATAGTGATCCTTTTTCTCCTAGTAGATCATCAAAAGCTTTTAAGGGTTGTTTAACAAGCCGTTTAAGAGTCGTATTTGTTTGAACTCCGCCGCCTGGTCTGTAACAAATAGAGCGCAATATTTACAATGCAGCCCTTGGTCTTTATGTGATAAAACGAGCCAATGGAATTTATCAAGATGAGATTTTTGAGCGTACTTTTTAGTTTGTTTTCCATTCTTGGTTACCACACAAAAAGGAAATTCATAATTTATAGGCGGGATCCAGTGTTTTTCAAGTAGATTAGCTTTAGTAAAATTATCAATGTTTTTCTTCCCTATAAAACAACCAATATCTGAAGAGTAATCTAAATGTACAAGGAAGTCTTTTCTCTGTTTTGACTCGGATGCAGATAACGTATACGGTATGTCAATCGCCAAACTATTTCCTTGATCGAAATTAGATATCAAAGTAGATATAAATGAATCATTTTGTCGATTTCAGACTCAAATTTTAACTATTTAGTAAAGAATGTGTCAATTTTTCTTCCCGACCCGCTAGTTCGTTTAAATGAATCACCCTAAATAAAAGAGAGACATTTATTTTTACTATTTCAATCGTAGTGTATTAATGGCTATAAGAGTATAAGACATCGATATCAAAAATTGTAAGAAGTCAATTTATATATGTTTTAATAATAATATTATTGATAGATTTCTTTACATAATAAATAAGTAATTTTTAATTTAAAATGTAATCATATGTTATATGTTATAAAAATAAAAACTTCATTTTTTGTATAAAATACATGTTTATTACGAAAATAATAGGTTGCATAAAAAGGTAAAATTTAAAAATTATAAAAATATAAGTACTCACCACCGTTCTTTATTACTCGACGACCGACACACTTGTCAGTTGTTTAGACGTTCACAGCAAAATAAAAAGAAATATAATATGATATAGCGAATAACGATTAACCGATTACGGCCGTGCATCGTGCGAAATATATAATATTGTAGATTATAGACATATTAATATTATATATATTATACGGGTTGAGAATAATCTTATCTTTCAGTCGAACAAGTCCACTGAATTTTTATTTTTATATTTACTCGATAACAAAATAGTATTAGTAATGTGACGCGACCCTAACAATACTCGCATCGTCAATCAATTTATAATTGCTATTAATATTCTTAGAAGTATGAATTTTGATGTAAATTTTGATTTCTATGTACTAGTGGTGTAGTTGATGTAGTTGTAACGGATATACATAATATTATATACCACTTTTTAGTGTGAAAAAAATATCCGTGAAATAAATCAAAAACGCAATTTATGCATATTAATTTTTCGATAAACACAAACTACGTAGTCTTGATGTTTTTTGGGAGGGTCATGACCCCCATGACCCCCCCTTAAATCCGCGCCTGTCCTATACAAATATGTTTTTTTTTTATTTTTTGATTTGAATAATTTAAAAAATTTTTACCAACTATAAGATAAGCAGATGATATATTAAAAATGAAAAAACCTCAAATAATTAAAATACATACTGCGTTTGTTTTTGATAAAAATTATGAATACACATTTTACAAGTTTTCGTATTTTTTTGTTCCCATTAACCCATTCAGTAATCCGCCAATCAATCTACCGTTCGGGCTGGAAACTAGTGCTCTTGATTTGATGTGGGAAATACCCAGGTACCCAGAAACCCGGGTACCCGTTTATCCGGATAATACCCGATTTTGTGGGTAGTGGGTACCCACATTGATTAAATATCATTGATATTTAGTATACATAGATATATCATTGATTATATATACATATATATATTTAATCAATGGTACTCATTACCCAAAATGTTCGGGTAACCGATAGTTTTTGAATACGTAAACGGTTTAGCTAAGTCTTAACTGCTAAGAGGTCATCAGTATTAAATTATACATTACACAATTATTCAAATAAAAAATATTAAATTATTTCCTCTTTTAAATTATCAAAATTATGTTTTAAAAATAAATCTTTAGTATTTTATATGAGTGTTATTATATTTCAATAATTAGTTTGTTCGAGTATAATGTCGAATAACATGTTAAAAGCTATTATAAAGCCTATATTTAAATCTTGCAGATAACGGATATAGTGGCCGTATTCGTTACCTTTTATGTGTACGCAGATAATAATAAGTAATCACAGTCAGTGGCGTACATAAGGGGGAAAGAGGCGTTCAAACCCACCCTTAGGGCCAAAAGAAAAAAGAAAATTGTGATATTGTTGATGGCGTGTAATATATTCATAGTTTCATCGTTACGCTTTGAACTTAAAATATACAACTATACAAAAATTATAATGCTACTAATTTACTGTAATGTAAAAGTAAACAGTAAATTGTTGTAAAGTTGTATAAAATAATATCTATTTAAAGCAGTTATCTGTGCAACGAAAAAAAAGATGACGAAATTTATCATGTTTCAGAAAAAATATGTATTTACATACAAATCCCAGCTCTAGTAATGAGAATACAAACCTGATTCATAACGGGTACCCGAAATGTTGTAAATCGGGTAATATCCGTAAAATCCGGGTACCCGGGTAGTACCCAGGTATCCGGGTATCAAGAGCACTACTGGAAACAGTATTTGTTTAAACCAGGGCTTAAAACCGTTCCTAATAAAGTTGGTAATCGGCTCCGGTAAGATTCGAAAATTATTTAAAATCGGTAACCGGTTATCGTTTAATTTTGATATTATGGTAACCGGTAACCGTTTCTTTAAGGATATTTCAAAAACTATAATAACCGTTAAGCCGGGTTCACACTACACTGTGATGTGTATTTTACTAGACCGTGTGCTTTGAAAATTTGTGATACCAGTTATACCAATATATATCTATGGTATATATATATATATATATATATGGTGATACTATCAAATATTGCTTACATATTTTATCAGTTTTTTTATTAGATATAAAATATTTTCATAAGTTTCAATAAATAATAACTGATGAATAATAAAATTATATAGTAGAAGGTATGTATTATAATGCACTTAATGCACTTAAAAAGTACAAATATGCTTAAAAAATATGCACTTAATTTTTTTTAGTGCAAAAATTGTTGATAAATAAAGATATTTTATTAAATAAACTCGTACATAACAGTACAAATGGTGTTAGTATATTATACTTAGCTAAACATAATTTCTAGGTATAAATATATAAGATAAAATAAAATATAAGTAAAATAAATAGCTTGAAATTTTAAATTTTCTTTCAAAATGTTCTCATTAGGTTTTCCATAGTATCATGAAAATAATTTCAAGGTTACTTAGCAATAAATTTAATAGCCCAATAAAATCATGCAAATGCAACACTTTCTGAGCCCTTTGTTATTATGAATAATATTATTATAGAATATTAAATTATTACTATTAAAATCGGTAACCACACGTTCAAGAGTTGGATAAAATCAACTTCACGGTATCTTATGGTTAGTGAGGTAACTTGTGATTTATTATACGGTATACCTTAATGTAACAATATGGTTCAACCAATCAAAGATAATTATTTTAGAAGACACGACGCGGCACGGTGTAGTGTGAACCATAGACATATTATGATAATATGTATTATAATATTATAATATTATAATAATATTATTATTATAATATTATGTAATATATTATCATAATATGTCTATGGTGTGAACCCGGCTTAAAAGCCGATGATAAGGTTTTTTGGGAATCGGTTACCGGTTAAAACCGTTTTTAAAAATCATATTTTTCAATTTTTTAATCATATTTTTAAAACCATTTATTTAGGCGATTCATGGGTTGAATATAACTTTTATTATTACAAAATCAAAAACTTAATATGCTTTAATTTGGTCGATTTCACTCAATTTCAATATTTATTTGTTCAAACTGCTTTAAAGTTTAACACATATTATGATTAAGATAATGATAATTAAAAAAATAAATTGCATAAAAAAATGTTATTGTTATAATTTTCTTATTTTTTACGGTAAAAAACCAAAATTAAATATAATAATTTTCTAAGATGATACTAATATTGATACATTGCCGCAGAACTTTTTGGTTGTATTGTTTATAATACAGTATCCCAAAAAATGGATGAGCAGATATTAAAACGACAGTATTAAAATATAAATACTAAATGGGCTCTATTATTAAATTGCTCTATTCCACCAACTATTTCGTAATAGGAATCAGCGCACGACAACGTTTATGACGGTATTTATAATGTATAGTTATACCTATATATATATATATGATCACAACAGATAAGCAATGCTCGACGGCTATTAATTGGGCCTATTTGGGACTAATTAATTATGAAAAAAATTTAAAAATAGCTGGAAAATTAAATTCAACTATAATAGTAGAATATAATCATGACATCATTTAATTATTAATACCACGAAAAAACCGTTAATTATTTTGGTTGGGAATAGGTTTTGGTTGTAAAATCGGGATTGAAAATACGAGGTAATCGCTTTGATATTAATATTTAGATATTTACCTAGATTACCAATAACCAATAACTGCTTTCAGCATTCCAAAACTAAAAGCGGTTATCGGTTCTCAAATTTACGGTTTTTTACCGGTTTTCGTTATAAACCGGTTATCGGTTTTGAATACGATCAAGGCTCACCAGTAATCAAACCAAATCGTTTATGCATAACTACTTCCTCAAGTATTATACGATCGAAAGAATATCATACCGATGAGATACAAGAGATACACGACAGTGGCATCTGTAGGATTAAAAGTCATAACAGATAAGATTATTTCACATAGCTGTCGTTATTACATTAGTCAGTTGGTTTATTACATAAATCATACTGTCGATAAGGTGATCCAGAAACTTAATAAATTCGTTTAAAATGTTGAAAAAATTTTAAAATATTATTTTCAAAATTTAATTGTTATTTATGATTTTTCAATAGCGAAGCTACATATGGGACAAAGAGACATTGTCTAACCATCTTTTGATTGTATTTTTGTTGTGCATTGTAAATGCACTGGCGCCTGCTGACAAGTGCATTTGTTCTTTTTTTGTGTTTTCATAGTTTGTATTGAATATAAATATAAGTATTATCGATATCGCAACTAATTATTCCGGTTTCCAAAAAACAAAGAGTTATACACGTTATGTTCGTCATGGGGATGCAATTGGGCAACGACCAAAACTCGTCTATTCTTGCGCATTCCCACCACTTTTCAGCGCGCAATCACTTAAGCGCGTTCACGTATCAGTAGGTGCGCGGTGAAGTGGGATAGGATAATTAGAATTCGAGGCGGCAGAGCATACGCGCTAAAAAGTGGTGGGAATGCGCAAACAAGTTACGTTCGAACAAATTAATTAAATTTGCTATGGAGAATAAACTTTCACAAGCATATGTTGACGAAAAAAAATTGAAAGTATAAGAATTATAATACATTTTAAAATGAATATAATTTGTTCCTTTGATTTTCTAATAACTAACATTTTGTAAATGGCATAATTTATTTTTATACAAATTTTAAATTAATTCAATTTTTTTTGAGTGCCATTGAAATTTAGTGAAGTATCATATTTGACATCCGTGTCATAGGTTTGCAATCCCTCGCTTATAGCATAGTCGGGCAAAAACAAATCCAAATAAAGAATAAAATATAAAAACATGAATAACTAATTTATTTATGAATAAAGCATAATTTTTTGTTCTGAATAATTGTGGTGTACTTAATAAAGAATAAATTTATTCATTAAATTTATGAATGATATTAATTTTTTTTTAACTTGTGTATTTTACTTATCACAATTATATGGGAGTGAATTGTGCCCTATGAAGACCTAAATTTTGGTAACTAAACAGGTTACTAGCAGAAAACTATTATAGAAATGTTATCACCTTAGGCGATTTTACATTAATCTTTGTAAATAGGTATATCGGTAAATTACCAAACACATTTTTATGTAAATTTCACATAATTAAACAATTTAATAATAATTAATGATTCAATAATAATTCAAGTATAACAATAAAAATAACAATTTGTTATAGTAACTATAATAACCTATGTGTATCAAGAATAATAACATTTTTATGTATATTATATATTATTTAAGTTTAAATAATAAGTCCATTATTATTATACATCATTATTTAGGATTTAAATTTAATATTTATAAGATTATACGGAATAACAAATAAAAATAAAAATCAATAATAAATCAATGAAGAATAATTTTTTATTCAAATAATCAATCAAATAATATTTTATTCGACTAATGCCAGGTAAAGTTGCATAATTCAGCTAGTTACAAATAAAATAGCATATAAATAATACTTAAATATCCAAGTGAAGTATGGGAAAATCTAAATTTTTAATCGTAATGGATTATCCAGTTTTTATTCGGAACTGAGGGAATAGGTAAAGATGAAATAAATCACTTTATCAATAGCAATATGAATTTAATTAAGGAAATAGCCCAATTAGTTGGTAAAATTTCTTTCATCAAAAGAGTTCCACTTGGAAATAGTATCAGTAGACTTTTTTCAGACCAAAGTTAACTTTTTTTAAGACATCTTAAATATTTAGTAGACTTCTAGACAAAATATTACATCAATATATGAAAGCACTAAAATGTTCTAATTAGTGAGACACTAGCACTATTAATTTCTATGATATTTAGTAGTCTGAGTAATAAATACTTATGCAATTGATTTAGACAAACAATAAATTTTCTAATGAAAATATTAGTAAACTAAGAAGTGTTATTGAAGTGAACAAAACATTTAATTAGCCGATTGCCAATGAAATTCTTTATATATTTTAATAAATAATCAATAATTTACATATTCAATTTACAAGTAAGTAATTAAAATACACATAAAAATATTTAATATGTACAAATATTTATAAGAAATTGGTTGAAAATAAAATAAAATACAATAATTACAATTTAATGTTAAATAAAAACTTGATTTTAACATAAAAATGAATAAAAAAAATCCCAACCCAATAAAAAATAGATGTTCGATAATATTGTCATTAAATTAAATGATTGTTAGTACATAAAAGTTGAATGAATTAACTTTTGAAAAAATAAATAAAACATATATTTGTACTGTAAAAATATTTGAGAAAAAATGTTTTTACATTAATTTAGTATAGGTTGAAGAGGAACATAAGTAATGTTGGACACAATAATTTATGTAAAACTATTTGCCTACTGTAACTAAACCTTTGTAACATCCATTTTTTCTACGGATTAAATCAGCCCATAGGACACGGATGCCACAAGCTGGACATTCGCCATCTATTGGTAAAATGTGATCGGATGAGCCTAAAAATCTTTTGGCAAGACATAATACATGGGTGATTGCTTGACAATCGGGTTCTAAACAATATAGATAAGTGTCTGGAGAACAATTACGAGCACATAAAATACATATATGGCTTTTGAAGTTGACGTTATTAGATGGCATAACTTTTTTACACACTATTGGTCCATAACATATAGGCATATGCATGGGTGGAAATTTGTCATCCTATGAAATAAAAAGTTAGTTTTTTACTATTCATTATGGAAGTAAATACACAACACTATATTTTACTTACACTGAAATCTCGTTGATATTTTGCATTAAGCCATCGTATATTTAACGCTAAACGGTTCCAAGGGCATATACGCAACATTTCTGAAAGTATACGAATATAGTAGTCATATACTTTTTCGGTCCTCAGTTTTGGCCCTAAATGTTTCAACCGTCTGGATTTCTTGGGATTTTGCCATGCCCATTCAAACTAAACAAGAAAAAACAAAAATACCATTATTATTGATTAACTCATGTTGAATTTCATTGACTTCGGACGTACCCTAAGTGCCGATATATCATTAGGAAACCCATGTATTATTAGAACCATTTCCCTGTAAACATTTAAAGATATATTAATAGTAAACAAAGATAACAATATATTTTCATCATCTTAAAATTATGATATTTTTAAGTATTATTACCATGGACCTCGAATACTAGTTTTTCTGGCTCCACCGCTTTTTACACCTTTGTTGTGCTGTTTTATACGGCGATTAGGATCCTTGGTGTAGCCGATATAAGTCCTTCCTTTAAATCTTTCATTCAGACAGTATAATAAGTAAACACCGTAGAAATCTTCTATTTCTTCGGCCATAGCAAGATATCAATAATAATAGGAATAATTAAAATTCAACTTTCCATGTTACTCAATGTTAATGGTAAATTTTATAAAAATGTAAGCAAATTCGAGAACAGTTAAACATAATTTCTTTTCTTATAAACATTTTATACTAGTTATATTTATCAATAAAAATAATCGGAAAATTGAAAGTTTTTCATTACATAAACGAAGTTTGATTCGTTTGAATTTCCTGTAATCACAATAACCATGTTATCACGTGTCTGAGTATGATATATTGTGGTGCACGGTGGTATCCACGGTTTAAGATTTACTTAAACCGTTGTGGTATATTAGTTCTTCATTAGTACCCGGTATATGGTATACCGCAGATTTGGTCAGGTTATTAGTTTACCATAGGTTATTGGTATATCAAAGGGTTAAAATGGATCTGATCTTAACTAATTAATTTCGTTATTTTGTTTGAATTGATAATTTAAATGTATGAATTATTAAATTTTTTTTCAAATTTAATTTTAATTTAATGGATATCATTTTTCTTTTAAAAAGGAGTCAGCGATTGTTCGCGTGTTGAACGTTGTCGATAAAATGCAACTGATATCTAAAAATCGATACAAATCAAAGAAATTCGTTGCCCCTAACCTGTATTCTATTCTCGCACAAGACACATTCCTACTATTTTTGATGTCTTGCTATGGCCGAAGAAAATGAAGATTTCTACGGTGTTTACTTACTATACTGTCTGAATGAAAACTTCAAAGGAAGGACTTACATTGGCTACACCAATGATCCTAATCACCGTATAAAACAGCACAACAAAGGAGTAAAAAGCGGTGGAGCCAGAAAAACTAGTATTCGAGGTCCATGGTAATGATAATTAAAAATATCGTAATTTTAAAATGATGAAAATACATTGTTATTTTTGTTCATTATTAATACATCTTTAAATGTTTGCAGGGAAATGGTTCTAATAATACATGGGTTTCCTAATGATATATCGGCACTTAGGGTATGCCCGAAGTCAATGAAATTCAACATGAGTTAATCAATAATAATGGTATTTTTGTTTTTTCTTGTTTAGTTTGAATGGGCATGGCAAAATCCCAAGAAATCCAGACGGTTGAAACATTTAGGGCCAAAACTGAGGACCGAAAAAGTATATGACTACTGTATTCGTATACTTTCAGAAATGTTGCGTATATGCCCTTGGAACCGTTTAGCGTTAAATATACGATGGCTTAATGCAGAATATCAACGAGATTTTAGTGTAAGTAAAATATAGTGTTGTGTATTTATTTCCATAATAAATTTTAAAAACCAACTTTTTATTCCATAGGACGACAAATTTCCACCCATGCATATGCCTATATGTTATGGACCAATAGTGTGTAAAAAAGTTATGCCATCTAATAACGTAAGCTTGTTGGACGGCAGTTTCAAAAGCCATATTTGTGTTTTATGTGCTCGTAATTGTTCTCCAGACACTTATCTATATTGTTTAGAACCCGATTGTCAAGCAATCACCCATGTATTATGTCTTGCCAAAAGATTTTTAGGCTCATCCGATCACATTTTACCAATAGATGGCGAATGTCCAGCTTGTGGCATCCGTGTCCTATGGGCTGATTTAATCCGTAGAAAAAATGGATGTTACAAAGGTTTAGTTACAGTAGGCAAATAGTTTTACATAAATTATTGTGTCCAACATTACTTATGTTCCTCTTCAACCTATACTAAATTAATGTAAAAACATTTTTTCTCAAATATTTTTACAGTACAAATATATGTTTTATTTATTTTTCAAAAGTTAATTCATTCAACTTTTATGTACTAACAATCATTTAATTTAATGACAATATTATCGAACATCTATTTTTTATTGGGTTGGGATTTTTTTTATTCATTTTTATGTTAAAATCAAGTTTTTATTTAACATTAAATTGTAATTATTGTATTTTATTTTATTTTCAACCAATTTCTTATAAATATTTGTACATATTAAATATTTTTATGTGTATTTTAATTACTTACTTGTAAATTGAATATGTAAATTATTGATTATTTATTAAAATATATAAAGAATTTCATTGGCAATCGGCTAATTAAATGTTTTGTTCACTTCAATAACACTTCTTAGTTTACTAATATTTTCATTAGAAAATTTATTGTTTGTCTAAATCAATTGCATAAGTATTTATTACTCAGACTACTAAATATCATAGAAATTAATAGTGCTAGTGTCTCACTAATTAGAACATTTTAGTGCTTTCATATATTGATGTAATATTTTGTCTAGAAGTCTACTAAATATTTAAGATGTCTTAAAAAAAAGTTAACTTTGGTCTGAAAAAAGTCTACTGATACTATTTCCAAGTGGAACTCTTTTGATGAAAGAAATTTTACCAACTAATTGGGCTATTTCCTTAATTAAATTCATATTGCTATTGATAAAGTGATTTATTTCATCTTTACCTATTCCCTCAGTTCCGAATAAAAACTGGATAATCCATTACGATTAAAAATTTAGATTTTCCCATACTTCACTTGGATATTTAAGTATTATTTATATGCTAATATATTTTCAATACCACTAGAATGAAGAGGTCCATTATTTTTTTACAACCTCCTCACTTAAAAATATAATATAACTAGTCCAATTATGCAACTTTATCAGTGAAAAAAAAAAATACTTATTTTAAGTGAGATCAGGTTACTGTAGGCGAGGGATGGCAAACCTTTGACACTGATGTCAAAGATGGTACTTGACCAAATTTCAATGGCATGCAAAACAAAATTTTATTAATTTAAAAATGTTCACAAAAATAAATTATGCCATTTACAAAATTTTTGTTATCAGAAAATCAAAGGAACAAATTATATATCATACATTTTAAAATTTATTATATTTCTTATACTTTCAATTTTTTTTGTCAACATATGCTTTTGAAAGTTTATTCTCCATAACAAATTTAATTAAATTGATGAAAAGAAATGATTTGACCAATAATACAATTGCTGCTTGTATTTCATTAAAAATTATAAAGTTCACATCTGACAGCAACATTCTATCCATTAAGTTAAGAAGCAGTATAAAATAATCAAATATACAATACTAAATTTAAGGATATTTAATAAATCAACATTTATAAAATCACAAATATATATATATAAATACTTAATAAAAATAATGTAATAAATCTGTAATTTTACTTTTATCCTCAGAAAATATAATTTCCATTCAACATTTGAATGATTTTCAAAACCCAAAGTAGAAAAAGTTGGTACTTTACTCAAAAAAGGTTTGCCACCCCTGCTGCTATAGGCAATTAAAAAATTGTTTTAATCATCCTTTTTTCTTTTATTCTAATCCAGACTTAGAATTGGCAGCAATTTTCTTTTCTTAAGCTTATTAGCTTATTATTTGGCTGCTTAGCGGCGATCTAATTGACATTTTTAACATAAAACCAAGGCGAATGTGTTTTTTTGCCGCTTTGTGCTATGGAATATTAAAATCTAAATAATTAATTATCTTGTAAACTTGAAATTAAACCTTAAACTTATACCGCAGTGTACTTTTTTTATTTTAAAAAAGTTGAGATATCAGATAAGTATTTTCAGAAAACATGTGTAACAAAATTTCCATTTTAACATTTATATATATATTGATTGATCCAATCCCCTTATCCTCATGCATATGCTATTGTTATATTATAAACAATAAATGCAACGATACTGCCTTTTTAACAGAATTACACTATAGATTTTGAATCACAAAATGTTTATTAAGAATATCAAATTTACACGTACACAAATTGTATTATAATATTTTAACATCACAGAACATATAAATCATGTTTTTATATAATATACTTTATGTAAAAAAAATACATATATTATATGAAAAACAATCACAACCACAAAGGTCATTATAAAATACAGTACAGCAAAATAGTTAATAGTCATTTAACAATAAATAGTATTAACACTATAACTGGCTACAACTGGACACTGGCTAGACATGTTATTGATTGAATTATAATTAAATAGTAATTAACAACAATAATCAAAATTTAAACACTACTCGAAACAACTTAATATTGTATAATAACTTACAAAATTTACTTAACATATATTACACACCTACTGTTTAAAGAGAAAAGAAACATTTGAAATAAAACAGTAAAAACTATACATATTATATTAATACACACTTTAAATAATGTACTTAGGCATGTTATAAAACTTTCCATTGCACAAACACCCATTTAATGCATAACTTAGTCAATTTATTACAAATGAAAAATTTTTAAAGATTCTCATTGGCACGGCTAGTAAACACTAAACAATAATATATTAATAATAATAATGATAATCGACCAACCAAACATTGCGAGAAATGTGCATTTGCTTAATTTATTAATACATATGTATTGATGTGTATCAAGAGGATTAAAACATCAAAACTATTTTTCAGGAATGCCAAATCCTTATAACACACTTTCAAACATAAATATGTAATATATTATATTATATATTTATAAAATTATTATCATACTTCACTAACATATTTTATTTATTTTTCAATAGATTATATATATATATATATATATATATATATATATATATATATATATATATATATATCTTAAATTATTAATATCACATCTGATTGAGTTATCTTTTCTTATATGAATCATACGGTAACACGAATAATAATGAAAAGTAATTCAATAAAAAAAGAAAAGAAAAAATAAATTGGAATCAATTTAAGTATAGTATAAAATATTAAATTGTAAAAGCCAAAATGAAAATAAAATTAATAAACATTAAAATATTTATCAAAAAAGAAAAACGTATCAAATAGCTACTGAGTAGTCAAGAAATATAAAGAAAATTTACCCTGTTTTGCATAAACAAAATAAATTATAAAAAGGTTACCAATGAACTTAATTTGGTGTTTACTATTTTCCTGTAAACTTAGTACAAAAACGATAAAATGTATTATTTTAAAAAATAATTCACGAGCTTTAATAACCTAAGCAATTTTTTTTTTTTAGATGATACTGATAATTTGCTCCTTAAGTAGAATGTTTCAAATCTTCAGTTACTTCAACACCTTAAATGATTTGAAACAGTAAAAAATATTTTTTTTATTTTACTTATATGCATATAATATAAAATTTTAAATAAATTGAGCACTTAGTACATGGTGAACAGCTGGAATCAGTTTTTTTTTGTATTGGATCTATTACCTTGTTCAAATTGTAGATCAAACTCAATCGTTTTTTCTTCGGGTCTCGAAGCATCTTCCATTGTCTTATCTAGTTCAGGAAATAACCTAGTATAAATGAAGTATGCCACATCATAATTTGACCAATATGATGTGTGTGTATACAACATGGACAAATAATTACTAGCGGACCCTCCAATACTATCTCTCAAAATATAATCCAAGCGATGATTTAAAACTAAATGAAAAATGAAAAATGCCAATTGAAATTATTTTGTAGAAAAAATTAATTAAATGGGAGCTCATACTTTCAATTGGGGTATTATTTCTTGAAGGCGAGCTGTTGCTGTTTTCTGAGTTTGAACTGATTTTACTATCATTATTACTCGACATGTTTAGCCAAGTAGTTAATTTACGACTGAATGTTTCATTTTCTTTTTTTAAATCTGATGCCTTTGCTTCAGTACCATTAGTGTCATCAGCACTAGAATCAATATTGACTATTGGTTCTAAGGAAACATCTGAATAATTCCATTTCACACCATAGGCCTGAATGCTAACAGGTTTATATCGACAATAATCTTTTGCCACTAAGGGTTCAAATCTAAACAAAATATTTAAATATAACATAAAAATTACAAACAATAAACAATGTTATGAATTAAATATACCTATAAGCAACGGGATCAGTAGGATGGTAAATATTGTACACTCTTTTGGCTAACCACATAGGGAATATGTTTAAATTTTCTTTAAACAATTCATTTTGACGCAAAGCCAAGAACACTGATAATGGAGAACCCAAACAAAAAAAATTTTCCAACTAAACATGTTTACAGAAAATTAAAATATAAAAATAAATTCCACATTATGTAGTAACAGATGATTTATTTACCTCAAAATTCAAATGTATACGTGGACTACTATCACTACGTTTAATCTGTAAATCACAAAATATAATATATCTTGATAGATAACTATTAAATATTTAAATAAAAGTAAATGAACTCAAATCCACACATGTCACATTTACCCTCAGACCAAAGGACTGTCCTGAAGTTACTTTCAACAACTCAGTAATCCCCCACTCAAGGGAAGCTAAATACCTTCGCCTCCTACTCGACAGAAGACTCACCTGGGGTCCCCATCTCAAAAGCAAAAGAAAACAACTTAACTCCCACCTACGACCTCTCCTCAAATCCAATATGAACTTAT